TTAAGCAGAATTTATTTAAATATAAAAAAGGAAATTAAAAACCAATAGTATAACACATCAAGGCGACTCATCGTAATTACTCTAATTGGTTCGTATGTCTACGACAATTTTGTTTTATTATGTCAATAAAACTTTGAATTCTCCACCATGTTCTTCATTCTACGTTACTAATTTGTTTTTTCCACCTTTAAGCAGATCTGTAATTTTGATGATTTTATTGCTCAAGTCTGGTATAAAATTCCTATATCAATTAATAAGACCTAGAATCTTCTGTACACTTTTTTAACTTTAACGTGTAGTTGAAAATTTCTCAAAGTTTAAATTTTTTAAACAGGTCTTGATGCCATTACAATTTATAATACATCCCAACACCTCTATTTCTTCAAGTCTGAAATTACTTTTATCAAAATTAATTTTTACATGATAATTTGCTAAAGTATGTAAAACTTTACTCAATGTTTTGTCATGACTTTCCAAGGTTTTATCTTATATGATAATATCGTCAATATAAACGAAGCAATTTTCTATACCATCTAATATTTCATTAATAGTCTTTTGAAATAACTTAGGTTTGCATTTAAGCCAAAAAGAAGTCTTTTATATTGGAAATTCTTTTTAGAATTCAAAACCCTGTCAATTTGCGACTGTTTGGCGATAGTTCCAGCCGATTAAAGCCGTTTTTTAAATCAATTTGACCATGCCAATGGTTACCACTTTGCATCCGAATACTATCATGTAATCTTGGTATTTGAATAATTTCATCTAGTATGTTACTATTTATTTGTCGATAATCCACTACAAGTCCAATTTCTTTATTTTTCTTTTCCACTATAAATGCAGGACTTGCAGGTCGTGAATTGCACTGTTCTATTATATCACTCTTTTGCAGCTTGTTCAGTTCTTCATTTAATCTTGTTTTATAAGCTTCAGGTACCCTATATTCTTTTATAAAAAATAAAAATTTAATTCTTTTTCAAATTTCAATTTTAAAAGTTTACTAAGTTCAACCTTATTAAACTTTTCATTTAATAATTTGTATTTCCCAGCAACTTGTTCTATGCTGATAGATTCTTGACAACTATAGTTAATGTTTTCGAACAATAGATTATCTGGTTCTTCAATTACTTTATCTCCCAAGTAATCCGTAAAATTTTGTCTATGCATAATAATCCTTACTATAATCAATAATTACTCCACAATCACTTAAAAATTCTTTTCCTAAAGTAAGCATTTCTTTGCACTTTTCTAATACATAAACCTTAATGTATCTATTTTTATTGATTAGAGGTATTTTTTATACTGACACAAATATCAATTTATCGCTGTATTCTGTATGGTTGTTTCAAAGCTCTGTTATGATCTTTGTATTCATTTGAGTTTTAACTTTCAATTTGTTTACCCGGTCCATACTTATAAAGTTTCTAGATGCTCTCGTGTCTATTAGACAGCTTACTTCGATATTATTTATTGTCGCGAGCCCAGCTCGCACCCGAGCCGCAGCCGCACATAGTTCGATTCTCGGCAGAATCTTTTATAACGAAAATAAGATATTTTAAACGCTGCAATTTACTAGGCTTATAAAAAGTTAAGTTGTAAAATATAACATTTTTTAAGTACCAAAAAAACACCGTTTAATTGTTTTTTTATTACGTTGGCCATAGATACTATCTCGGTTCTATCACCATGATCAATTAGTAGTCGATTCTCAGATAAAATTTTTTTTATTATAGCTGCAGGGTGAAAAATTGGGTCAAATTTTATACGTTTGTTTGCTTGGTTAGCATCAAAGTCTTTTTTTAGAAAAACATATTCACCTACATTAAAGTTATACACAGAATTATGAACCGCCTTTTTATCCATTCTTGAAAGATACTTAGCACATATAACTACTTCAACTTCACTTACAACTTCTTTATTATTTTTTTTTCTTTGCA